GCTCCATCCTCTACATCGGCAACGAGACCTTTGTCCGCGAGAACCCCGAGAAGGTCCGCGCGTTCCTGCGCGCCGTGAAGAAGGCCACCGACTTTGTCATCGCTGAGCCCGCCCAGGCCTGGGAGGAGTTCATCGACTTCAAGCCTGTCCTTGCCACGCCCCTGTACCGCAAGATCTTTGAGCGCAGCTACGCGTACTTCTCCAAGGACCTCAAGAATGTCCAGCGCGACTGGACCAAGGTCACTGCGTACGGGAAACGCCTCGGTGTGCTGGACAATGACTTTGTTCCCAACTACACTAACGAGTTCCTTGAGTGGACTCTCGAGACTGATTCCAAGGATCCTACTGGTGACCAGAAGCGCATGGCCAAGCTCCAGGAGCAGGTTGCTGTCGAAGGTGGATTCCATCGACTTGGTGCCGCGGTTCAGGCTGCTTAAAGCCTTTGCTCTAACTAAGCTGTTCATCTTCGCTACTTCGGACAAGATACTGCATTCATGTCTAGATTCCAGAGCTAGTAGGACTTGATGCTCTCTGGGATACACTGGAGCATTCGGGTAGCGAATAGAATTATTTAACCTCAATTGGTTTTATAACTGAAATCAATCGTGCACTCTACATGTGAATGTCTCTGTTGTAGCTCTTAAATTGAAGATCCGCTCCTGGTGATTATCTTATGGAAGTCTCTTGTTTGAATGAATTACTTGATACCATAATCAGGCTGTGGCCGTTGGCGTTCTGTCGCGGTCATGAATCTAATGTTCTGGTCTAATTGCATGATCAATTATCGCCATCTAATAAATCTATGCATCGGCTCCAAATGCGTTGTTCTCATCTATCCTCATAAAGTGCGTTATTTCATGGCTAGCAACGGGATATCCCCATTCTTCCCCCCTCTCAGTGCTCGCTGGTTAGCTCGACGGGCGGAATAGGCTCGTACTGGATATCATCTCGCGAGTCTGACCTGGGCTTGACGTAGCGATGGTGCAGATGCCTGAGCACGAAGGCGTTGATAATCAGGGCAACCGCAATCACGATCATGGTGGGATAGCCCTTTGGATATCTCGGGGCTTCCACCTGCTGCCAGATGACCAGGGGCACCCACGCCTGGAATATGTATGCCACCTCATTCATCATGGCCGTGACAAGCGCCCTCTCCTCGTTGTCGTCCCCGCACAGCTCGTGGGCCCAGGCAAACAACAGACCGCTGATACCCCCTCCAAACCCACAAAGCAGGAAAGATATCCAAGTCAGCGCCGTGGGTATGTTCCATATTGTCAGACAGGTGTAGGAAAAGATCTTCACTACACCCGAAAACACCACCGCAGGCCATCGAGCTCCTTTAAAAATTCCATCCGAGGTCCAGGCATATATGAGGGTGGTGATGATGCTGATTCCTTCAGTGATTGTGGGGTAAATGTTGGCCTCCCTAACCGTATAGCCCTGCTGTTTCAACCAGATGGCGAAAGCGGGTTGGGATGCCCCCCCGTTCCCATTGTTAAAGAGGACATAGATCAACGTAAGTAGGTAAATCTTCCAGCTTGAGAAGATTTTGATAAATTTTGCCTTTGTGAATGGGGAGCGCTGGGCTCTACCTTCAAGCTGCATTCGCTTCTTGGCCAGCTTGACCTCCTCCGGCGTCAGGTAAAATGCCCTGGTAATCTCGGGGACATCGGGGAGGAAGAAGAAGCCTGAGATGGCGATGGGGAGTGACACAACCGTGTTGGTGATGAAGAGCCATTGCCACCCATGGAACCCGTGCACCCCGTCGAGATTGATCGCTCCGGCCATTAGGTATCCTGATACCATGGACCCTACATTTCCCATTGCGTGGAACAGACACGATCGCTTGGCCAGCTCGTCTTTGCGGTACCATGATCCGATGATGTACTGCATTCCGGGGTAGAAAGTGCTTTCGGCGAGTCCAATAAAGAAGCGAAGGGTGTATAGCTGTGTCGTCGTGGTGCATTTGGCCAGGAGGACGGTCAACAAAGACCAGATGACCTGTCTTGGTGTTACTCAATGCCTTTGACATGAACAGTAGGGTTTGAGAATGTGAGGCATACTTCGCAAGCAGGAATCCAAATACTGGGTCTAATCTTGGTCAAAAGCAAGTTGCTATCCTATATCAGCACAAGAGATTTAAAGAGTCGAGCAAAGGTCAAGAATACCTCGGTATTTCGCCTATCACATATCCAATTGTCCAGAACATTTGCATATAGTTGAGCTCATTACCGAATAGGCCCATGTCTTCCTTCATTCCAGATATGAAGGCATTGTTAATGTTCACCTACGTATGTGTCGCGTTGTTAGTATCACGACTGCAAAGAAAGGCAAGAAGCAAGAAGAAGATAGTCCGACACAATGAGATTGGATGATAGTGGAGGACATTGACCAGGATGAAATGACAGCCAAAAATCAAATGCTAACCTGATCGAGATACTTCATGAAATACCCCAGAGATGCCAAGGTCATCAAGGCGGCATCTAGCTTGAAGAGGAATCGTCGCTCTTCGGGAGACTTGTCAAATGTGTCCCAGAGGTATGATTTCCAACTCCTCTTCGGCACGTCTTGGATGGAACCGGTTGCTGAGCTACTTGAGCTGTCGGCCCCGTCGTCGATGTCATCCCTGTGTCGGACAGTCCCGTATCCTCCTCCCTTCGATATCGCCATCTTGGATGAGCGGCGACAAGAGCGCTAGTAGGCGATTCCCGGGTGATTCTATCGAAATTTGCAGTGGAGGGATCAAGGAAAAGGACATTCTGGGCTGTTTTATTAATTTATCCCATTTATCTGACAGGCAGCGTCTGATGTGATACACAGGGGTAGCCGCTGCCCTTGCCTTAGGGCAGCAGAGACAGCCAATAGAGCTTGCGCCAGGTGGCATTTCCGTACTTTCACCATCTGAATCCTCGATGTCGCCACATGGGAGTCTTCAGATCGCCATTCAAAGAGACCCTGCGAGCCAAGCTTCAGGCTGGGCGATCCAGGCAACCAGCAGCAAGCGCGGAGGCACGTCTGATCATGGGGGGCAGCCAGCCACGGTGTCTACTCTGGACGGCCACTATCCTCGAGAGAGGAATGGCGAGTCTCCCGCACATGGATGAAACGGCACAGATCACCGTCCAACGAACACGGCAAGATGCGGCTAACGGACAACCAGGGCTGTGATTGATTATGCTGCGCATGTCTCAAGTGGGGAACATTAGCCCAGTGACGAGGTGACGTGATGATGGACGGATATCGTGTGCTCGCCTTCCCCTCCCACAACACCATCGATTTCCAGCGTGTCCATTAGGGTGGCATTTCGACTCCAGATCCCACCGGCTCGTTCTCCATCTCGATTGGTGCTCCTCCACTGATATCTCATGCACCGAGATCCTGAACATGTCATGTTGGCCAGATTGCGCCATCCGACTCCACGATGAGCACCACTTATCAACTCAACGACCCGGAAACACCAGTGTTTTTTTCTCCGAGCTCGGCGAGGCTTACAAACACGACCGGATGTTGGAAATGATTTAATACAGAGTGACATGTCTTGTTGCGAGTAAAGGTGGTGGTTTGTCCCATCAAATAGGAAAGCCTGCTGTCTCTCACTCCCTCTCTCTTTCTTACATACCTTATTCCAAGACTTCCAATCCACACATCCGTCATGCCTGTCGAATTCATCAGCATCAGCTTCCCCAATGCCTCCAATGAGATCAACCCGATCCCTGGCGCCGGGGTTGACCCCGAGTTCCTCGTGCGCTACTCCAAGGCGCTCGACGACTACGGTTTCAACTACACCCTGATCCCCTACGGCTCCGAGTCATTTGACCCCTTCACTCTTGGCGCCACTGTCCTTGCCCACACCAAGAACATCAACGTGATCATCGCCCTCCGCCCCAACACCGTCTACCCCACAGTCGCTGCCAAGTCCCTCGCTACTCTAGACCAGCTCAGCAAGGGCCGCGTCGTTGTCCACTTCATCGCCGGCGGCAGCGATGCCGAGCAGGCCAAGGAGGGTGACTTCCTCAACAAGGAGGAGCGTTACGAGCGCCTCGAGGAGTACATCAAGATCCTCCGCCGTGCGTGGTCGTCGACTGAGCCCTTCGACTGGGAGGGCAAGCACTACCAGTTCAAGCAGTTCGTCAGCCGCGTCAAGCCCACAAAGGGCACCATCCCCGTCTCGGTCGGTGGCTCATCCGACTCTGCCTACCGCATCGGAGGCTCCCTCGCCGATATCTTCGGCCTCTGGGGCGAGCCTCTCAAGGAGACCAAGGAGCAGATCGATCGCATCTACGCCGAGGCCGACAAGGCTGGCCGTGCTCCCACTGACCGGCCCCGTATCTGGGTGACCTTCCGCCCCATCATTGCCGAGACGGATGACCTTGCTTGGGCCAAGGCGCACCGAACTCTGGAGAGCCTGAAGGGCAACAGGGAGAAGGGCGTGGGACTCGTCCCTGCCAATGCCCCTCCCCCCGCCAACGTCGGCTCCCAGCGCCTGCTGGAGATCGCCGCTCGCGGTGAGGTCCAGGACCGCGCTCTGTGGTACCCTACCGTGACGGCTACCAATGCCCGTGGTGCATCCACCGCTCTGGTGGGAAGCTACGAGACCATCAAGGAATCGCTGCTTGACTACGTTGATCTCGGCGCCGACTTGATCTCTATCCGAGGTTATGACAACTTCAACGACGCTGTTGACTACGGTCGGTATATTCTGCCTCCTGTTCGTGAGGAACTGGCGAAGCGAGCAGCGGAAGCCAAGAAGTAGGTATGAACAATAAAAGAAAAGAACACTGTATAAATTTGAGAGAAATTGTCTTTGTAAAGTAGATTAAATACGTAAATACGAAAGAGAATTCTTGTCCCGTTGCGACTGAGAAAAAATTATAGTACCAACTACATAAGGTCGATGATTTCTAGTTTAAGGCATTGACAGTATCTCTAGTTGAATTGAGCTTTACAAGGATATGACGACAATATTTGTACATGCTATCTATTTAGCATAGTTTTTTTTATCAGAGAAGCGCTACACCAGCTGCTTCCGCCCTCCTCCTCCTCACACGTCGACCCATTTTATCCCGAGCAAGCTCCTGCAGCCATGCAGGCCAAGCTCTCAAGCCCGCAACAAACGAGTGACTCTCTGGAAGAATCAAGTCACCGCCGGTTCTGCTCATGATCCGGTCGACAATCTTGTCCGCAACGAAGTCGCTGTCGAGCATGAATGTGCCCTCTTTATCAAGATGCGCTTGTTGGTCTTTCAGGATTGGCGTCTTGACGAATTCTGTATGAACAGCCGTAGTGAGTACATTTGGAGCATCATATATATGCTTGAGCTCTGTGCCGAGTGTCTCATGGAAAGCACGGATGGCACTCTTGCTGCTGGAGTAGTCGCCGGCGTTGGCAACGGCAATGAAGGAGGCTGAGCTGGCCACCGTAACTACATGGCCTTTGTTATGTTTGATCATGTCGGGAAGGAATTGTTGCACCGTATACCAGTGTGCAAAGCAGTTGATGGCGAACAACTGTTGGAGGGCTTCGTGGGAGAGTTCAAGGATTGAGGACCGATGGGTGATTCCAGCGTTATTGATTAAGACAGTTGGATCCCCCAACTCGTTCCGAATGGCGTCTGCCACGGCTGCGATGGCCTCTGGCTTAGAGATATCACATTTATAAAAATGTGTGCGACGCTGGTCTTTTAACGACTCTGGAGGGTCTTGAACGTCCAGAATAGCGACAGTCAGACCCTTGGCCACAAGCCTCTGAGCGACGGCTTGGCCGATGCCGCTGCTACCACCGGTGACTATAGCAACCTCGTTCGGCCAGTCCCAATCATTCGGAAGAGCGGTGCGCCACGAGTTCTGAGCCATGATAGAGAGGATGCGGTTCAGCCAGCGCACGCCCCCAAGTACAACGAAGGCCAATAACGGCGCCTTAAACCGGCGGCTGTTTTCCGCAAAGACGGGCCCAAATCTTGCTAGAATTGGCACATAGTTCGCAATGGCTGAAAATATTGGGAGCAGAATATTTGGGGCTAGAGTCGCTCCAAGGAGCAAAGATCCAGGCAGGAGGCCGACGGGCAGGGGTTGATATAAAGTAGACATGGGCGTGAAATTTAGAAGCACAGCGATGGTAATGATGAGGCTGTTTGATCCGGAACTGAGTATTTTCGGCTGAACAAGCGACAACCCACCAATTTATTATGAAGTAAACACGCTATTTAGTATCGACGCCGTAGCCATTATTAGCAGCCTAGCAACATCCATGACTCGAAATATGGATGCTTATTGGCCAATGACTGATATAATCCTAATCGTATTCAGTGGAGTCACTTTACCGGCGGCTTTCGAGCTACAGAAAAGCACGGTGGTTCGGCGGATTTGGCTGAGGCGAAACCCGCCGATATCTAGAGGCTTGGTTCATAACGGGTATGAACAAGATTAATCAACTGTCTACACTTGCATGGCCTGAAATTTACATTTTCTTACCATGGTCTTTAAGTACGGCTAGAGTCTGTTTTCCAGCATAGCGAAGCTTCAATCAACTCCCGGCCTTAGGAGTGATTGCTTGACATTTCGATATGAGAAGAATTTGGTGAGCAATCGCGTGGGGAATGAAGTTTCCTGATGGTTTAATTTCCAGTTAGATCTATCTGGCCTGGGGCTGAAGCTTTTTACTTTGAACTCTCCCTGAGTTCATACCTACGAAGACTGCCGGCACGTTGGCGCCCCTCAAATTCTGGAAAGAGCACGCTGTGGAATATTCAACGCTCTATCTCAACTCTATCTCATTGCGACTTTCTGGTGCATTATATCAACCCTTCAGTCTATTAAGACAGGCTCTTATTGGGCCGGATGATCGCTTGCCGCAACGTTGCATTGATGCATAACCCTAGGGCCGTACGACTTAGGAAATTCTGTCTACTCGATGTTAGCCACGGCTAGTAGCTTTGGAGGATCATATTCGATTGGAAACTCACAATACTATGCCATAGGGATCTATTGTACCACAGAATGACATCTTGTTCTTGATGGGGGTGAGCATAGATATTCTCGGGGTTGAGCGCTGGCCTCATAATCCTTCGGTCGTTGGTCAGCAATAGTGGCTTCTAGGAATGTTGGGGAAATCTCACTTGTCCATAAACGCCCGAACCTCCTTCAGGTCAGTGACCACCTTTTCTTCTCCATTAGGGCTGCTCTTCAAGTACAGCTTAAAGGCGCCTTGTCCATGCACTTGCAGAGACTTCTCTCCCGTCTTGGGATTTGTCCAGACCATGGGATACACACAGACTTTTTCTTGCGACCATGGGGGGAGCTGATCCAGCGGTTTCTCTAAACCCTCGGTTTCCAACAGGTGACCGAGCCTTGTGCTGTGCGCCGTTGACATCCACAAGAAGGCGTGGGGGGCATACTCTATGCGGCTATTCATAACGATGTCCCGGGTTTCGTCATCGAGTAGAGCTAAAGCACGGGAACCGGCAACCATAGCAGTGGCTCCAGGGGCAATCTTCATCTCGGTTCCAGTGCCATCGTCCCAACGGACGGTAACATCCGGTCCCTTGGGGGTGCGGACGGCGAGGAGGCAGCCAACGCGGGGTGGTGGGATGTCGTACAAAGATGCATCAAAGTGCCACTGGTAGAATCTGCTAGCACCCGCTTCACGTTCTTCTGCCGGGATGTGAGGTGGTAAGTGGAAGTCTTCGTGGTCGATGCCTTGGACCTCGAAATCCGGGGGGAACTGGTAGTGGTTTTCAGGCAGCGGCCCCCGGCCGAGTATATGGACTTGAGGTTGGACAGGAATGGCAGGACGCTTCGGCAGGCCGTAAATCTTGACTCCTTGGTGTTCGGTCAAGAGGGGGTCGGGCCCGTGGGCGAAGCCACCGGTCGTCTCTTCCGGATCGAAGCTAGGTAGGCATGTTAGAAAATTGAGTAGGGAGGATCACAGCCATTTCGGGGACTTACCTGGAAGTTAACATATACTGTTCTATGTTTGGTGTTAGCAAGCCATTCTCTTTCGCTGTGAGTGGGTTTGACGTACGTTGAGGAGCCAGCATTTGGGGCTGCTCCTTGAAGACAAGCAATTTATGTTTGTGGAGCGCATCAGAAATGAATTCAAAGTCGGCATCCGTGAACTTGTTAAGATCAATGCCATAAACGTAGGCTCCAAAGTCAACGTTGCTGTCTGGGCTGTGCTCAATCAGTACAACTCTGCCTGCTGATTTCTCGGCATGAGGTAGGGTGAACTCCGACTTTCCAGCAATGAGATGGAGCTCGGGAGCCTCCTCCAGGGTTGTAGCAGATGCAATAACCATGTTCAACGACTGGGGGAGATGGTGCTCTGTGTAGATGGTCGGATGTCTGTTGAGCCTATGTCAACCTCGATGTTTCTGAACTGGTTATAAGCTCAGTGCCGCAGTCAGCTTCCAACCCGCATCGTTGCCACATTTGGTCCGGGAGAAGTGAATTTGTTGTCGTCGGCCGAACTTGTTTAGATCTCGGTGTGGAGCTCGGCCGAGGTCTCAAGAGTGTGCTGCCAACCAAGGTCATTAATGATAAACCGACAAGGATCAGCTGAGTTGATGTAGCTCCAGGTGAAATTTTATGATTCAATAGCTATTGTTTGAAACAGCTCCCGCATCATCTTCATTCACGGCGCCGTCGGGCACACGACTGCACTATCCACAGACAGGCAGCGTTGACGGCTCTTTGCTGATTATTCTTCACGGCTTGGGCGGTTTAATCTCCACGTTTAAGCCCGTCTTACCTTATATTCCCGCAAGATACCGAAAGTTCTGATTGATTGTCCAGGGCACGGAAAGTCCTCATTAAGTGCAGCCGAGACACCTCTCAGTGTTGTGGCTATGTCTCCAACGTGGGCGATCTCGTCGCACATCTGCAAGCAGTTGGTGGGGACACCTCGAAGAGAAAAGTAAGCGAACTCAACACCTTTTGTTGTTCGAGGGCTTCGGCTAGTTGCTGACTTATTCTGTGCTCCAAAAGATCCTTCTCGTCGGGCACTCCCTTGGCGCCGCAGTCGCAATGCACCACGCCGCGCAAATCCCCAACAACGTCGTTGGACTCGTTCTCCTTGGCGCAATCCAATGGGCAGCACACGTTCCTGCCTTTAGATAACGCATGCTAGACACCACTACCAACATCAGGAAGCAGGGAATTGAATTCGCGGCCAAGTTGGCGGCAGAGAACAACTTTCCATCAGATGAGCAGCGGCTCGTCAATCCAGCCCACCGCACGGCCGTGGAAAATGCTGTCGCAAGGGCACAACAGGAAGGTTACGCTTAAACCTACGAAGTGGCTGTTGATATTATTTATTGTGTTGAGATGTCGGGTCTGGCATCTTCCATTGCTGTTTTATACTTTGTACTCAAACTCTCATCCGTAATTGTTACAGGCCACAAAGATTCAAATTCTGCCATCACTTCTCCAGATATTTTCATCACGGGAGACTTGGATGTCATCAATAAGCGAACCTTATGTATCACTAGAATGGAGTCTGAAATATGTACTAGAGCATACTTTTATTTTAACAACGTTGAGTTTCTATGATCAATGCGAGGGATAATTAAACTCCTAACATAGAAGTTACAATAGTTTAGCCTAAGGTATCTCCCTTTACTTTGGGTTCAAACAAAACGTACGTTCCTGATGTTATATGTTTCTTTCGGGCTGTCTATCATATGGCGGACCTCACGCAAATTCATAACCTAGCATGAGACTCTGATATTAGGTAACAGGAGGGTTTGCTACATGACAGTTTCTTCCCCACCGGGTGTTCCTCAGTGAGGCTTACTGCTGAGCCATCCACAGTATACAGCCTTGCTAGATCCCGAAAAATTAGATCCTATCACCCGAGGCAAGCTACAGCTCGGACGAGATAGCAACCTCGCGATTGAAGTAGCTCTCCTACGGTTTGTGATTGCCTGGTTCGGGTGATAGATAGGTATCCGTAACCTGTCATGGCCCGAGATGGTTAAGACTGGCCGGGCTAAGATGTCAGACTGTCCCTTGGGTCCTTCTCATGATAGACCCGTGCTTTATGCCTCGACCTCGGCGGCTCGGCCGAGAAATTAAGTCACCGAGCACGACGAGTTTATTGGCAAGCTAAAGCAAATCCACAAATTAGTTGACAGCATCTAAAGGTAGCGAAAATCGCATAATTGAAGTAGTCAATGATAGGGGCTAGAATTGGGAAACAACAAGGGACATCGCTTCACGAACTCGAAAGAACACACTAGAGATGCCTCAACACGCACTTGGCCGCGAGCTGGGCCTCAAGGTCAACCCAATCCCTAAGGGCGTGGGTGAGAAGACCAACTTCGGTGTGACGATTGAAGGTTTAGACTTGAACCAGATTTCTGGTAAATAAGAACTGCAACCTTTGGGAAGTCCATTTTCTAACAGATACAGACGAACAAGTGAAGGCTCTCTCGGAATGTATCTGGACCCACAAGGTATTTGGCAATAATATGCCATCCACAGCAACTCACAAGCAGTACTGACTCAAGGCAGGTAGTAGTGGTTAAGGGGCAGCAGTCTCTAGAGCCAATCAAGCAGTGGGAACTTGTAACTCGGTTCGACCCGGACTCACCACAAGTGCACTCGCATGGTGACATGAAGACCTTTTCCAAGAAGGGCGGCCTTCTATCAGTGAGTGCTAAATATCTGATCTCTATTTTCAATGTTCTTACGAGGAGAAGGCCAGTAGGGAAGTAGTTGGTATCCCAGGAGCCGAAAATGTGCGGCTCATTGGGAAAGGGTTCCAAGGAGAGGATCACTATGGCATCAAGAACCTAACCATTTACCACGGCTTGTCCAATGATTTCCATTCCAAAAAGCTGCCCGACGATGAGTTCAAGGCAGGCAATAGCCGTTTTCAACGATGGCATATGGATGCGCCGCTCTATGCTAGAGACCCCGCCTGGTTCACGACGCTGCGCTGCTTCAAGAGACCAACAGAGCCCATGATGAACATTCGATGGGACGACGATACTGGCCTTTCTATGAAGTCCGAACCAGGTCTAACAGCATTTTTCAGTAATGTCCAGACATATGAGCTGATGAGCGCTGAGGAAAAGAGCATCGCCGAGAACTCGTGGGTGGAGTACGCACCTAACCCTTACGTCTGGATCAGCAAATGCGGCGGCAAAACGAACGGCCTTGGCCTCGAGAGCGAAGGCAAGGAACTGGCTCTTGAGGATCTAGGGGACTATGAACTGAAGAACGTGAAGACATATCCAATGGTAGGCTATTTCCACCTGCTCTCGAGGCATTTAAAATCTAACCTCTGTTTACTTCAGGTCTGGGTCAACCCAGTAACTGGCGAGCGAGCTTTCCAAGTTCACGGTATCTGTGCACGGAAACTGTACCTCCGATCCTCCCCCACCGAAGAGCCTCGAATCATCGATAATGTAGAGGAAATCCGAGCCTTTCTGAAGCCTATCCAGGAGAGGGTATTGAGGCCAGAATATATACTACTTCCCGCAGTAGAAGAGGGCGATATTGTCATGTGGGCAAATTACATGATGTTCCACACCGCGATAGACTATCCGATCGAATTTGGGGCACGGACAATGCATCAGGCCAACATTGGCGCGAGCATCGGTCCTGCTCAGATGGGGTTGTTCGAGATACCTTCTTTGGCATAAAGAATGCAAATTTGTCAACTCAATGGACCACTTGATAGTAAATATAAATGACTATTTGTGTCTAGGTTTGTTCTAAATTTTGCTTTCCGTTTCAGAGAATGAGCTGTACTAGAATCTACTCCAAATTGAAGCCACCATGTTAAGTAGAAGCAGAGTGTTCGCACAGAATTCCTGAAGGTCTTTAGGACATAGATCCCACATATCACTTCACTTGTGGATTACTTTTAAACACGTAACGTCAAGTCTTCAAGCTCGCGTGGATGCTGTTAAACAGAACATGACACAGCATCAACGATGCATAAACGCCAGATCATTCTATATGTCTTGGATGTGCATACCATGTCCCTCGGGAGCCCATCTGTTCGGTTGATTACCATGTGCAGCAAACCGAGAATAGGAACACAATATCACAACAGTTGCATGGCGCCAATGTCCATACAGGCATAGTGAGGTTTATTTTTATTCTTCTCCATTTCTGGTAAAACAACCATTCAAGATGTCCTTTAGTTCCTTTTACCAGGGTTAAAGGCACCAAATATTGAGAGAAACTTTCCCTTTCATTGTCTTACCGAACGAGATGGCCACACAGCCTATGCAATGCCTGCAAGCCGAACTCGCTCCTGAAAGAACTCACCTACGGTAGAGACACCTATCATAGTCAGCACCGAAATAAGGACATGCAAAGAGACTATTAAAGAGTCCTTACCGTCCCTTTCCACAATTATTCCACCTGGTTTGACAGGATTCATCACCTGGTCAATAAATTTAGTACTCCGCAGACCATCCGACCGTGTCTAGGTAGGGGTGAGGACTCACAATGTCGTGATTAGGTGTGCTGAAGTACGCGATTGTCTTTCTACCTTTGGGCAGTTCCGTACTTGCAGACTTTGGGAAAATAACTCGGTGCACATTGGCCTTACAGAGACCATCCGTCATTCCTTCCAACGTCAATCCGACGTTTACCTAATGAAGTCAGTTTTAAGTATTCCACTTTATGAACAGCACCCACCAGAACAGTGTTGGCTATGATCGGTGCAGATATCCAGGTTCCTGACTCAAGATCAACGTCGCCTTGAATGAGCTGTAAACCGGTCTGGTTCTTGGCACTTTCGGTTGGCAGATAGACCTGAAGTCCTGGCTGGCCGTTCTGTTCTTGAAATAAAAGTGTGACGTCGCCCCACTGTCCGAAATTGTCAATATATTTAATCCAGATCCCTTCTTCGGTTCATGTCATTGCGTTCAACTTACATCTGTTTTAGGAATTAGCAGGGGACTATCCAGAAGTCTCAATCTCACCTGTCATACATACCTTTGTGGCTCCCAGCCCGAATGTCATCTCCTGCGGGTGGCGTTTCCAGTGCAGGATAATTCAGGAATGCGAGACCGTTGGAACCATCGTCTTTGTGGGTACTTCGAAAAAAGTTCTCTGGAAGCTACAGTTTTCATAGTGTCAGTTCATGTCTTGACTATTTCTAAAAGAGCTTGTCTCCTTTAATCACTGACGTCGAATGCTCGTGACAGAATATCAAGAACTCGAAGAGAAGCCTCATAGCATCTTTGATCAAATTTGGTGATCTCGTCCTGGTACTCCTTCATTACCTGAGGTAGGCTTTGAGTTGTCGCCTTCTCTCCGGCGGAGGCCATATACCTTCCCCAAACGAAACTCTCCTTAAGATCTGTTCTAGTAGCCCGTTCGTCTAAGGAGCCCTTCATTCCAAAGTAGCCGTTGCCGCGCTCATCTTTGAGAGACGCCAACCTTTCGGCTTGCGGAACGTTATGGAGAAGCGCCGACAACTCGAAGGCCCGGTCAATATCTGCCTGCGTGATGCCGGTGCCCTCGAGATCAAGGTGGATGAAACCCACCGTAGATAGCGCATGGAGAACGTCTTGGGGTCTCGAATGAACGAGGGAGATGAGTGGAATCTCAGGGGGTAAATTGTGATCGGCTGTCATTGTCACTATGTTGGACGTAACTATATCTCGTGTTCATGGATCTCTTGAGGCAGGTCTACGTCCCACCGTTTCCGCAACGAGAACGAGCGTGGGGAACATCAAGAATTTCAAAGCATCCCTTGTTGTAGATGGCAACAGTTGAGGATACCCCTGTTTGGGGCAAAGAAGCTGGCTCTTGAAGCCCCACGCTTCCCGAGACCAGCCCCATTGTCGACAAGCCCTCGGCCGAGCAGCTCTTATCTCCCAATCCGACCAACGGGACAAAGCTAGCGGCACCGAGATTCCATACTTGCAGCGACAGATTACCTTATCTTCAACAAACCAGGTGCCCCGGATTTTCATTACTCATTTGATTGTGCTTGATTGCGATCCCGACCCGGATAAGGATCCCCGGATAACTAAATAGTGACTACCTTCTAAACCTTATCATCACAGAGCATGAGCATGAACATTGTGGAAGTGTTGATAGCCTCAATTCCCTCTATCTAGGGTTAAACTAAACTATAGGTTTTAGCCTTTCACCTACGCTATCATTCATGCACGAGCATTTGGCGCTGGTGTACAACCTCACAAATGTCCTGTATGTAAACGTCCTTGGATCCTTCTCCCGGTTCGTGTTTATCCCCATTGGAGTCTTCAATCTTCTCTCATTCTGTATCTAATACCCTTACAGACTGCTAAGAAGCGCCCGCCCATCATGAAGACGATCGATGTACAAGATTTTGGTCGCAGGGCCAGACGAGCCCTTACCACTAAAGAAGGCTTCAAAAACGCCATTGAAGTCGAAGCTTCCGACTTTGCGCCGTCAAGTCATGGCTTCATCTGGTCGAATGCCCATATGGACCCGACGCCTCCCTCGGAGCGGACTTGGACTTGGTTCCATTACTTTGCTCTTTGGTATTCCTACAACTTCACGTCCGGCGCTTGGGCTGCTGCATCGTCTTTGCTGAGTCTGAATATCAACTGGTGGCAGGCGGTCCTGGCCTGCTTGGTTGGGTCCATTATTAGCGGAATTGCCGTGTCGATGAACTCTAGGCAATCCTCAATCTATCATATTGGATTCCCTACTCTTCAGCGCGTTTCGTTCGGTATGTAATTCATAATTGCTCTTTAAGATTCAACTCTTTGTCATAGACTAATATCTATAGGTCTTTATGGCTCTCTATTTCCCGTTTTTACTAGAGCAGTTGTCTCGGTGCTATGGATTGGAGTCACTGTGTATCAGAGCTCATTGTTCCTTGATGTCGCCTTCAGGTATTCTTCGGCAGACACCCCCAAAGTAAATGGCCACTAATCGTTTTCTAGATGTGTATTCGGTGATTCTTGGTTCCTTATGCCAAACACATTGCCTGCTAGCGGAGGCATTACGACACGAAAATTCGTCGCTTGCTTCATCATCTGGATTGGATCATATCCCGCAATGTTCCTTAAGATCCACAAGATGAGACACTTCTGGACTGCGAAGGCGGTCGTCATTCCCCCGATCACGATTGGACTTTTCATCTACTGCATGGTAGTTGGGAGCAAAGGTGCCGTTTCATACACATCTGGAACGAAAGAGTTGACAGGCTCATCATTGGGATGGGCTTTCGTGTATAGCGTACAAGCCATTATTGGCAACTTCTCTCCTTTGATTACCTCCAACCCCGACATTGCCCGGTATGCTGTCAAGCCGAGCGCCACGGGCTGGCCACAGCTGCTTACAATCGCATTCTGGAAGACCGTCATCTGCGTGATTGGCATCTTCGGAACTAATGCGATCGCCTACAAATATGGCACCACCTATTGGAATATGTGGGATATTTGCCACGTCATTCTGGAGAACAACTGGAACGGCGGCGTTCGTTTTGCCATCTTCCTCTTTGCGATTTTGATGGCCTGTTCCGAGCAAATCAAGAACCTATCATCGAACCTGATCTCATTCGGCGCCGATACGGCTTGCTTGTTGCCAAAGTACATCAATATCAACCGGGGAATGATACTAGGCCTCACTCTCGGTTTCGTGATCCAGCCTTGGTATATCCTTGCATCGGCCAAGAGCTACCTTACTTTCCTCACAGGATACAGTCTCTTCTTGGGGGCAATCCCATCTATCGCGGTAGCCGATTACATCCTTCGTAGAGGAAATGTGGACGTTTTATCCCTGTACACGGCCAACAAAGGTACGTTCTTTTCGTTATTCCTGTTTTACGGTCTTTGCTGATGTATAATTAGACTATTGGTATCACAAGGGCTGGAATTGGAAAGCATATGCCGCCTACATCATGGCCATTTGGCCCGTTGTGCCTGGACTTGCATACCAATTCTCCAAGGACCCTTCGGTCTCCCAGGGCTGGGTGCACCTGTACCAACTTGGCTGGGTGTTTTGTGTCTTGGCGGGAGCCTTCACTTATGTTGTTCTGTCGCTGGTTTTCAAAGACCCGTCCATGACCGAGGCTCGCCAGCACCCATGGGAAAGCTACGCGAGGAACCAGCAGGAGCTTCTGGACAAGGAGAATGAAGGCGCGGTGCTGCAAGGTTCGTCACCTAGTGAATCAGAGTCGGAGAAAGTCCGCCATTCCTTGGAGAAGAATGTTGTCAAGGTCGAAAATCCAGTGGGACCAGTTCTTTCGGTCTAGGACAGGGAGAGCTTCATGGACAGTTACGCGTCTTTTACGCGTCCGTAGGAATGTTTTAGATCGGTTGGCCAATTATGTTCAAATGTATAATTTATAACTCAAGTGACTGCGGGGATGTGGAAATGCACTTCACCAGGTAGAGGTCTAAATATCATCACATATGCTTGGAGTCAAGGCAAACGGGTAGTCCGACTGGTCGCGTCTGGTGCAAGGTTTTGTGACGGGGCAGTAAGAAAATAAGAACGTGAATTGACCAGGAAGTTGCTAATTTACACAGATCCGCCTACACTAACCTACCTAATCCGAATTTAGAGGTATTGGGTGATGGTTAATTTTAATCTTCTGAGCCAGTTCTCAAGGTACGCCCTGAGGGAGCCTACCCTAAACTTCTTCCTCCTCTTCATGGCTCGTTCTTGGCCACGACATATCCTTGATTGTATCTCTTCTCATTAAAAAGTGTAATAATATTACTAAATGAGGCTAGTATTGATTACAAATACTAATAGCTGAGTGACGATGGGTAAGCAAGACCTGAACATCACCGGCCATGACACTCGAGTGGATCTTGCACAGCAATTTTAACCACCCCAGAGGGGTTGTCTTACCACCGGGTGTGTTGCCTCAATTCGCTACCTGATGCTCTGAGTTACAACGAATCATTTGATAGCATGACATATTGAAACAACAGCAGTGGCCAGTTTTTTCTCACCAATGTCGAACAATGCTGGTACCACCACCAGTCCCACACAATAGTGACGACTTTGCCGAAGATGGCCGATGGAAATGAGGGGACTTTGTCCACGGCTTCAATGAAAGTTAAAATAACACGTCTGTTGCGCCGAGTGCCAAACTCTAGTACAATTTTTGGAACGAGGATCTAGCCTGACGTTTATCTTTTTAGCAAACCTTACCTTAACATGGCGACAAGAGAACCACCGACAGTCAGATGGGGTATCATCGGTATGTGACAGTTATGTTATTTGATACTTCGAGTTTGCACTGACGCGATGGAAGCTACGGGACGAATCTCATCTTGGTTTGTCGAGGATCTTGTGATTAACAGATCAGATGCAAAGGCCAGCCATATCATCCAGGCTGTAGGAAGCTCTTCCTTAGAGAAGGGCAATGATTTTGTTGCTCGTTATTGTGGGAAGAGTAACCCCAGTGTATATGGAGCGTACTCTCAGGTCTACGATGATCCCGATGTGGACATTGTATACATCGGCACGCCCCACGCATTCCATAAGCAAAACTGTTTAGATGCGATTGCGAAAGGGAAGGCTGTATTATGCGAGAAGCCTCTAACGATGAATGCGCGTGACGCGAGAGAGGTGTTTGATGCCGCAAGGGAGAGAGGTGTTTATGTTGCCGAGGCCATGTGGCTGAGACATCGCCCCTTGGTCCACGACTTGAGGAAATTGATTTACAAAGACAAGAGAATCGGAGAAGTCTTTAGGGCCTTCTCGGACTTCGGTGTCGAGATGGACATACCCAATTTGCCGGAGACTTCTCGATACAAGCAACCGTCGCTTGGAGCTGGGAGCTTATTGGATTTGGGCATCTATTCGATCACATGGGCAATTCTTGCATTAGAAGAAGAGCCGGGATCTAACCCGGATGATCTCACCTTGAATGGAGTACAAACGCACTGGCACGGAGTTGAGGTGACCAGTAGTGCACTTTTACGTTATGCATCAACAGGCCGTCAAGGTATCGTCACTTCAACTACCATGACAAACGGAAATCCGGATATGTTGGCCCGAGTTCAAGGAACCCACGGATCTATAGAGGTCCATGGACCTTTCCCTGCTAGGCCAACTTCTTTCACAGTATTTCCTAAATTTACTGATACCTTGGTTGACGGATTGGGCGATGGTGTTGTGGTGAGGGGTGAAGGAATCAAGTTTGACTATCCACATGCTGGCAGAGGTTTCCATTTCGAGGCAGATAACACTGCTGTGGATTATGTTTCTGGGAAATTGGAGAGCTCAATCGTGTCGTGGTCGGAGACAATACGGGTCATGGAGATCATGGATGAGCTGCGCAGCCAAGGAGGGACGAAATATTCCCAAGATCTTGACGCATGACAGATACAACATGCTTAGCTTAATTAATTACCTTCTTTGATTTGCCTTGCTTGCTATCACCTGTCTCGTGAGTTCATGCTGCTTTCGTGCCTGGGTTGGAAATATCTCATCCCGCCGATGCCGATATTTCTTTCTCTGTCTGGCGATAGCTTGTAGTCTAGGAGACAATGGCCGAACATCTTCAAGTCCGCATGGCTATCTGCGTGATATGCGGGGTAGAAATCTAGGAGATAAACGGGCATATCCTGGAATCAACCCCCTAAACATGGCGACCCCAGAATCCATAGCCCGGTTA